GGTAAGAACTATAACGGAAAAACAAGTGAGTAACTAGGAGCACAGGTAACCCTACAGATACCAGTCCTCTTCCTGAGCAGGGTTAGCATTCAAAGGCTTGTGAATAATGGAAGCCATAAACACAACGGTAAAATGTACTTTTCTCTGCACAGCACAGAAGACCTGGCTACGTCTGTGGATTACAAGAATTTCCTCAAAACTGACTATTACAAATAGATTTTAAATACATAAAACTATAGGTTTTCCAATACCAGTCCCTTCAGTTGCCTTAGGGGACTCACAAAATTGCAGCCTAGTGCTGAAGGCTTTATTCATCACAAGCCCGCCTTATATCAGTGCAACAAATGAGAACTGCATTTTCTAACTTTTGGGGTTTTTGTTGTGAAGAAAAGGGAGGAAAGACAGAAGACACACTTACTTAGCTCTCTCTGGCCAAAAGGCTTAGGTTTTTGAGATGTCCTACAATAAATAGAGCCTCCTGGTCCTTTGTCCATAGAGACTTTGTTTGGATCTTCTGTGGGTGGTACACGGCCCAAGTTCATGGTGCGTGATGTCATTTTCTTCGTACGGGGTTTGTTTGATTTGTCGGACCGCCTTGATGACGAGTTTTTAGATGTTGAAGATTTTGGCTTGTTAACTATGGTCATTGTTCATATCTGTAACAGAGACAAAAGTTCTGGTTGACTTAAGAATATCAAGAAGCATTTCATAAGGAAATCCTGTTACTCAATATCAGAGACATAACTTGAAGAACTAAAGAACTGGTAAAAATTATTATAAAACCCCAAACAACAACCAAAGAAAAACCCCACTCACAAAGCTGTGTTTAAGTGGGGAGCAGAGATTACGCATTTGTCTCGTGACAAAACAAACATTTGCAGGAGTGACTAAAGCAATAACATACACAAAAATACCTTAGTAGAAAAAAGCAACAGGAAACTACTACAGGTAGACATGAAGACCAGGCACTTTTATGTTTCTTAACTGCAAACTATACTTCCACGCTGCAACATTACTGTAAGAGAAAAAAACAAACCCAAACCACCTACAAAAAAAAAATATAACCAACCCACCCCCGAAAACAAAACAAAGCAAAAAAAAAAGAAATAAGGAACATACCGAACATACACACGCCACACTTTACTTTCCTAAAACACAATCCAGCTGCCAAGCCAGGAAACTCGCAGTTATTTATCACTTTAACCTTAACTGGAAGCCAGTTCGGTACACGAAGTAGAGAGGCACTCGAAGCTCTCATTCCCCGCTGTCGGAGCCCAGCAACGCTTCCTGCCACTACTGGCGACCCCGAGATCGGGGACCACGAGGGGCCTGGTCTGTAACCTCACAGGAGTCTCCCTGTCCTCCCAAAGCTTGTCTGCCCGGTGTTTCACCGCGGTCCGAGGGTCTGCTTCTGCCGGGTCGCGAGATAAGCTCTCAACGTCGGTTAACGTCCAGTCCGAAATGGAACTGTCCGGCCTTCCGTCACCAGCGCTACGCATCAAGCACACACCCGCTCACCCCCTGCTCTGCCTGTCCGAGGGGTTTTGGTCCCTAAGAGCATTGTGGCACCGCTGCTCTCACGGACCGGCGCGGCACGCAGCATGGCCGCTCTCGGGAGCGGCAAGAGCCCAAACACAGCCAAACCAAACCGAAGCCGACACGGCAGGCGAGGCCGGAGCAGGGCTCCGAGGGATCCCTCGCTTCACCTCACCTCACCTCCCCCTTCTCCCTCCACCTCACGCTACGACCCACCCCGGCCGAGCACCTCCTGCACGCGGCAACCGGCGCCGCGGGGTCAGGCCCAGCACCGCCCCGCCTCGGTGCCCTCAACCCCTCCCCAGCTGTCGCTTTCCGGGCTCGCAGCTCCAGGACCGTCCGGAAGCAGGACCGCAGCAGCGGGCGGCCTGGGGCGACTCTGTGCTCATGGCAACTAACGGACGGAACGTGAGGACGGCGAGAAGTGGAACCCTTCCAAGCGTTCGATTCCCCGCGGGAGGCGCCAGGCCCCGCCAAGAGCCGCCGCCTCTTCGCCAAGCAAGGAACAACGCCGCCCATGCCGCGGGACCTGAGGATCCCGGCCGCCCTCCCGCCGCCTCCGGTAGGCGGGGAACCAACGCCGAGTCCCCGCGCCAGCAGGAGGAGGAGAACGAGAAGGGAGAGGCAGGTGGCAGCGGGCACCAGCGGGACCTCGGCCGCTCGTGAAAGCGGGCGCACACTGGCGGCAGTGCGCCGGGCATCGCCACCTCTTGCGGCGCCAGGAGGGGGCTGATCCCGCGGGCCCAGGGTGTGGTGGCGGGGCTGGGTCCGTTCGCCGCATGCTGGGGACAGCGCCACGCCACGCCACGCCACGCCCCGCCCGGGGGTCCCACCTCCACCGGCTGCCCGCCATCCGGGAGGGCAGTGGCCGTGTGCCCGGCCAGCGCCCCGCTGGGCTGGGCTGGGCTGAGCCCAGCCGGCTGCTCCCTCCGGTCGCTTTTCCTTCCTTTTCCCGGGCCGGCCCCTCCCCCCGGCCCATTGATTTCCAGGGAGGGAGACGCACGCGGCAATGCCGGTTTTTGCCAGGCCGCCGCCAGGCCCAAGTCCGTCCCCCCCCCAGCACCCCAACCCCATTACCTGGTTCGGTCTCTCTTGACTCGGCGCTGCCGGGTCCCCCTCGCTGCAGCCCCCGCCTCAGCCCGGTCCGCTCCGCCTACAGTTACAGCCCGTCGGGGAACAATGACGTCCCTCCGCCGGCCTCTTGCATCCGGGGCCCGGCGCTGGCCGGGCAAGCGGGCGGAGGGAGGAAAGGAGGCGGTGGCGGCGGCGGGGGGGAGAAGCGAGCTCCTCCGGGTCACACGGGGACCAGCACCGCCCCTGTGCCGCTGCCGGGAGCCGCTAGAGGGGGCTCGGCGACCCCCGGTCAGGGCGAGAGGCCCGATGCCACCGCGGCGAGGTGGTCCCGCGGGGAGGAGGAGGAGAAGGAGGTGGTGGTGCAGGCCTAAGTGCTCAGCCGGACGCTTTGTGGTCGATGCATGGAGCCGCACCCCTCCGCGGAGGTGAAGAGTCTCGGCCAGTCCCACTTCGTAAGGGGGCGCCTTGTTTTCCCAAAGCGAAGCTTCAGTACGAGCCTCTTCCTCGGTTGTAGTCTTTTTGCTCTTTTCTGCCTTCTAGGCTCTAATTTGCCCCTCACCGATTTATTTCTCCAGTTAACGTTTTATTGCTCTGCGCTCAGAGAGGCGGGAAGGCCCCGCTGGCCGGAGCCAAGGCCGCGACCGCAGCGCCCGGCATGTGGAGGGGCGGATTCCCGCCAGGGGCCGCGGCTCCCTGCGTGCCGCCGCCCGCCATCGAGTTCCCTGAGGAGAGCCCGGAGCCGCGGTTTGACGGTAAGCGGGGTTGGGTGCAGCAGGGCGGCCCTGTTTTCCGCGGGGAAGGTGGGGAGCAGGGAGCCCCCCCCCCCCCCCCCCCTTCCTGCGGGTGACGGCTGGGCGCCCAGCTCCCCCCGGGTTAGGAATGCAGGGGAGAACGACCGCCTTCCTCTTTACTCATCGTCTTGAGGAAGCGGCAGCCGCGGGGATGATGCAAGAGCGGGCAGGCCCCTAGTAGGGAGCGCCCTGCCCCGCAGCCAGGGCTCCCCCCTTCGGGGAGAGAGAGCCCGGTCCTCTCCGTTAGCTTCTGTATGCGCTTATAAAAGTAAATTAGGTTCCTAATTAGTGTCTTAAGCTTTTCTCTAAGTGGCTGCTTGTGCGGTGCCTTTTCGTGAGCCGGGGCTGTGTGTGGGTTGATGTGTGGTTTTGATGTGAATAGCACATACTGAGACCTAAATTCATTCTTCTGACGCCTTTTCCAGAATCGGATGTGCCCGCGGAGCTTCGAGTTGCAAACGGGTCACAGAAGTTTGTGAATTTTACTTCGACGATCCAAAACCAGCTGCTGCTTGTGTCACTGCTGGAGCATCTGTGCCACATGTACACGCACAACCCTGTTCATTCGAGGTGTTTGTTCCGAAGTTAGTAAGAGTAGTTCTTTCCTGTCTCTTAAACTGTCTTACTGCAATATATGCCAGATGGTGGTGAGGCACTGGAATAGGTTGCCCAGGGAGATTGTGAATGCTCCATCCCTGGCAGTGTTCAAGACCAGGTTGGACGAGGCCTTGGGTGATATGATTTAGCGTAAGGTGTCCCTGCCCATGGCAGGGGGTTGGAACTAGATGATCTTAAGGTCCTTTCCAACCGTAATTATTCTATGATTCTGTGTAGAATTACAGTGTAATATCAATAGGAAGCTGTAGGTCTCATCCTATTGGGCCAAGAGTAATTTGGAGAAGAGGACAAATACCCTGAACCAACTCAAATGGGACTGAGGATGTGTCTTGGTTTTGAAAATAAGAACAGAATGTTGCTGTAGATGCAAGGATCAGACAGTTCTATAGCAGCTAAATCATGTGAGTTGCGTCATGAGAAGGGTAGCAGGTAAATTATCTCTTAAATCTGATACAAAACCATGAGGAATTTAATAAGAATGTTTATCAATAGTTTATAATAATACAGCTACTAAGCTGTAGCATAGTCTTCACTAAATCTTTCAAAATTGCTTTTTGTGAAAATTAAATACCTTTAAAAGTCCTTTATTTTCCCATAAGGAATTATGATATAATTCAGGGAGCTTGGATTTTGAGGTGTGAAGCGTTTCTTTTGAAATGCGTCTTTTTGGTATGTGAGTTATCTTAGGTATTTTGTTCACTTAGGCACATATTTAATGCATTTGAGAAACAATTTCTCAGGTTTTTCTCCTATTGTATGTGACTGTAGAAAATAAACTCTGATACTTCGCTTGTACTTAAAATGGAAGCCATTTATAGCATCCAGTAAGAACAGTGCAGGCAACTGTCCGTTTTTATTCTTGAAGTAAGATGTAGATGTTTGGCCCCTGGTCTTAATATTCTGTCTATGAAGACAAAAAATGCCAAGGAAAAAAATCCAAAAAACAACCCAACTAAATTTTCTCCTTTCAGGAGAGGAACAAAAAAATGCAACCTGGGCATCTTCCAAAGTATGTAACTGCTTGGCTTCCTGATGTACTTCTGTGGAAGATTACATTTCTCCATTGGCACAGTTTAAACCAGTTTCCCAAGTGGAATAAACCTGATGAATAAAAGAAAAACATGCTGCAGTAATGCTGTCTTGATTTGTGGTTTTGACTGGTATATTCGTGTTGGCAACCATGGGGTTTTCCATTTTTTCTGCTGTGCGTAACTGTGTTCATAAGGCTTGTGTAGCGACATTCCTAATTTGTTATAGGTTCACTTTCAATAAACTTTATCTCCTTTAAAAGATAAAGTAATATGCTGGGTTTTTTTATATACTGATACTAAAGAAGCATCTTAAAAAAACCTCTTAGAGGTGAGTTTATTTTAAGACCTTGGAACTCCTAAAACTTTCAAGGGCATTTCTGTAGCATCTTTGCAGTTGCACCAAGCTCCAGTGTTAGGTTTTTGTCTGCCTTGGCATTGTTTCTGTTCAAGCGAGAAAGATGTGGTGCTTGGGAGGCAGTGTGTGCACAAACGTGTGAGTTTGTGGATTAGAAAATCTTGACATTGCCACTTTTTATTACAAACATGTCCTTGTTATTGTAAACACACTTTGGATTTCTCTTTTCACTGGTCAGAATTTTTCCAGAGGTAACAAGTGGATGCTTGCATAATTTATCTGCTAAGATAAGGTAGGGGAGATGCAGTTGTGACTACAAAGGGCATGGCAAATAACTGTATTATGCAAAGGGATTCCCACAGAGCAGCTGTAGTTTGGATTTAATTAGTTTTTCTTGCAAAGGGTATGGGAAACTGTATCAGGAGTGACTGTTCAAATTTTCAGATGCACTATCTTTCAAATAAGGTTTCTCACTGTTTACATGGTCTTACTGGTAGGCTGTATTTAATGTGACCTTTCTCTGTTCCTTTGTACAGTACTTCGTCAGGCTTTCACAAGAACAGGGATGCTCTCCCCTTTTGCTTTCTGTGATGAATTTAGTACTGTAAGACTGCAGCATAATAGAGCCATTACTGAACTAATGAAAGCAGCTAATCGACAAATACTCAGTGGGGTAAGCTTTGTTAAATTTCTTTAGCAACCTCTGCATTAAGGGGTTAACACATCATTGCATCCAAGGAGGCTTTTATTTAGGGGTTCTTTTAGTGTCGGATTGGGTCTTTTTGATAATTATACAAAATGGTATTCCCGTTCTACCTTCAGTGTTTGAGATAGCAAGGTTTGGTTCTGTAGGTGCAACCCAAAGCTTTGGAAGCTAGCAGTATTTTGTCCTTATTAAATAATAAGAATTTTAAAAAAAGTTAAAAAATCCTTATAAGCACAGGTAAAGTGTTTTAAATATTGCTACTTTTTGGTTTGTTTTTTTATTTTACAATGGACAGACATCCATTTTCACTTTTAACTGTTCCAGCTGATTATGTCAATATCGTTCTATTTATATTGTGGAGAGCATAATTTGTATAGTGTGACGTGCTTCAGGCTGAATCAGATCAGTTTGCTTATCTCGCTGCTTGAACTAGTTAATTTTTCTTAAGCATGTTTTAGAGCCCCCGTTTTATCCTGTTTGCCAGCAGAACTCTAAAAGGGCAGTAATCTCTCCAGCAGAGAGGTGTTAGTAGATGACTGGTGGGATAATAATACTTTAATTTGGTGAAGCTCTCTGCAGAATGTGAATGGCTATCAGTAACACATTTTCTTTTAAGAATATGGTTGTAGTTTGTATTTTGATAAAGCTTTCTGTGCTGATGGCATGGTAGACATTATTCTGTATGTCATGTTTTCATGTTGGATTTTGTTATTTTACAGGAACTTGATAATGGAGATTCTCATGCAGTTGGGTATGTATTCAAAACATTTAGAAATATTAAACTTAATTCCCCCCTTAAAAAGCTCCATTCTGAATTTAATTAATGCTGTGAAACAATTTGAGAATTGCTCCAAACTCTCAGAATGATCTGGGGAAAATTCCTTCTTCAGCACAACTCTCACAGTTAGTGCCACCCTTCAGGAAAACAAGATTTCTCAGGCATAAACATAAAGAAAGCATCTTAATACTTCTATTAACATAGAGTGTGATTTGTAGCACATGTGTGTGCTGTTGTAGTCTGCTGGTTTTCAGTATTCACTGAAACAGCAAACTGTGCAGCATGGTGGTGTCGAAGTATTTGCTGCTTCTTTTCATAATGTAAATAGTATTTCTAGGTTGTGTATGCCTGTAGCCTTTATAGTACCTTACCTGTAAGTTGTAACTTAGTTTAATGCAGCCTATTTTTGACTAGGGAAAAAGAAGTTCTCTTTGAAGCACAGTCTTCACGATACTTGAATGAATTTGATGAGATTGTGAGGCTAGGAAGAGGAGGATATGGTAAAGTATACAAGGTATTCTTTACCTTCTGTTTATAACTGATCAGTTTATGTCTAGTTTTTCTTTGAAATTTAGAGTTACTGTTTTGGCTGGTTTTTGTTTTGCTTGGGTTTTATTTCTAATGGAAAATGAAAAACACTTATTTTCCAATAGAACAAGTACAAACCTGCACATGTGAAAGATGTTGGCATTTAATTTTGAAAGATGCTCAGTTGCTGTTTCTATTTTCTGTTTGTAGGAAGCAGGATATATCAGATGTTTTACTTCATGTGTTTTGACTGTTTTTAAGTGAATGAAAAATTCTTGTGTGAAGTACCGTGATATATATTGACTTAAAAACCAGCCACAGGAACTGATTAGTCTGCATACCCCAGTGTTCCAGTTGTGGCTGCTTGGAAAAAAGCAGCCTTAATATGAATGTAAACTGTCCAATCCAATGTTGATTAATATTAAATACTTTAGCATATGGCTAGCCTACAGTTCCCCACATGGTATGTGCCATGCATAAATGTCACTTGTGGTCTCATGATTTTCTGATAACCTGTTTAAGCAGTTATCAGGACATACGAGCATTTTATTATTGATGGAAAGATAACTTTAAAACCATGTATTTCACAAAGATTGGATTAGATGTTTGCAGTCCTGTAAGAAGGCAAAAGTAGAGTATCCTTAGGTTAGACAGCTGAGCCTAATCCCAGTTTCACTCTCTGAGTGAGATGTTGTATGAATGGAGTGCAGAAATTAAGTTTTAGAAAATAATTGGTTCTAAAGGATTTAATAATTCATTAAACACATTAACATCTAGTTTTTCCTTTTGCAATTGTTTTCAGGTTAGAAACAAGTTAGATGGTCAGTTCTATGCTATCAAAAAAATTATCATTAAGAAGGCTACAAGAAGAGATTGCATGAAGGTATACTTTTTCCTGTATTTCATCTCTGGTTTAATTCCCTGTCTGCTGTAGCTGATTCTAATAGAATTTAGTAATGCAGTTAATATTTCCCAAAACATAAAAAATGTTAATAATGGGTTTATGCATTCTGAGTTTCTATAGATTTAATGCTATCAATACCTAGTAGAAAAAAGTAAACCAGAGGTATTTAAGTCCATTAAATCATAGTATCATAGAATTGTTAGAGTTGGAAAGGACCTTAAGATCACCACTTGAATTTGCTCATTTCTGCAACTATGAAAATCCTAATTAGTTCTAAAGCTTCAAAATTTTCTTTATTACTGTAACAATTTTATCTGTTCTTTCTCTGTCAGAAACTGTTACTTTTTTGTTATCTTTTGTGTTTATTAAGTACTCAGAATAAAGAATGGTCATACTGTTTATTTTTGGTCTTTTTAGGTGCTACGAGAAGTTAAAGTGCTCGCTGGGCTGCAGCATCCTAATATTGTAGGTTATCACACTGCTTGGATGGAACAAGTTCAAACAGTACATCGAAAAGGAAAGTGCAGCATATTGTGTCAGTCTTGCTTGCATCCTGCTTATAATCTCTGTACTGTTATTTCCAGGAGAGTATAATTTCTCTGATAAAATAACTGTTTATCTTTAAAACAAAAAAAAAATCCCCAGAGTACAGGTGACCATCAGATCTTCATATTCTTCTGTGCACTTCAGTCTCTTGCATAGTAACTTACCTATTAGTTAATGGTGAATTCAGAACTGTCAAAGTATTAGCTTCACTTCTGGTAATACATGAGAAGGATTTTAAAATTGTGTGAAGTTCAGTGGAATGGAGTGAGAACCTTTTAACACAAGAAATAATGAGTTGACAAGGAGAAGAATAAATACTGAGGGATAAGCCACTTCAGATATTGGGGAAAAAGTGATGAATAGAATAAAAAAAAAAAACCATCCACAAATTTGCTACCATGTTTTGAAGTCTTGGAGTTGTAGCAAAACTCAAGCAAGTCTCCCACTATGCCTTTCTTCCCATCTGTAAAAGAGTTCAGAAAAACTGAACCTGGAAATAAATAAGGTGGGGGGTGGGGGCAGGGGAATCCTTCTTATTTTGCTTTTCATGGGAGAGTTTTTCATTTTGTTGAATTGCATATTATAGTCCTACAGTGACAGAGAGATCTGTTGTTTTTTTTTTTTTTGTGTGTGTGTATATATCAGCTACTGTCTGTAACTGGTGAGAATTTATCTACATTTATGTTCATTTTACACCACCTTTCCTGCTGCTTTTTTTCTATTCATTTTCTCTGTTCTTGGCTCTTTCCACACGTCCTTTGGTCCCTTTGTAATACTAATCTGTTGTTCCTTTCCTCTCTTGTTCTTTTCTGAAATACCTTTAGCAGTTAAATCTTTTGATCCTCTTATGCTCTGTATGCCTTTATTGCTTTCCAAATCAACGACTTCATGGTCAGCTATAAGCACAAAAGAAAATGAATAGAAAGTTGTCAATATGGTAATACAGACAAGACTTTCTAATGATACTGAGAATCTTCAAGGATGCAACTTTTTAGTTGCTAGGAGTACTTGACAAGTATGCAATGGTGATAAGTATGTAACTAGATCTGTAAGTAGGTCCTGTGGTACTTAATGGTTTTCCTTGGCTTAGAAGATTGGTATTTCATATCTCCTCTGTGCTAAAACAAACTGCTTTTTCATATAAATATACAGTTTTAATGAAAACCATTTCCAAAATGTTAAGTATCAAACCAGCAGCATAGTGAAGCAAAGGATGGTGTCTTGTGGAGTTGTTTTTTTAGCTATTATATACATGAGAAGCTGTAATAACATAATTTTGAACAGGCTAACTTCTTAAAGGTTAAATCTAGGTGAATATCTAAGAGATCCCAGTACAACCCTTCAAGTGACCTCATACAACAGGTATTTTCATTTAAAGAAAAACAAAAAACCATGTGGTTGCTCCTTATTAGATCAAAAAGCACCTTTTGCAGCAGCAGAAATAGAGAAAAAACATACCTGTAGGTAATGAAGTTAAATTCAGTAAGATGCTGTAGATTAAATATTAATTTATAGTATTATTTTGTTTTTTTAAAATACCATATTCATCTTTTCATCCTGTAGATAAAACAGTAATGGAGTTGCACCCATTATGTTTGGAGCAAGAGAGTAGGAAGTAAGTATTATAAATCTTAATGATAGCATTTATTTGTCTTTACCATAAGACTTCTTTTAAAGTAACGTTCAGAGAGTACAGAATTCAGCATAGATTTCACAAGAAGCTTTTTGCTTCTAAAGTATTGCCAAAAAAGTCTTAATTATCCTTGTCATTGTTTCTCTTCTTGTTGCATAAGCTGAAGAATATTACTGAATACTTCTGCCTTCTTTGGATCTCAGTTTCTGAGTCTCTGAATGTAGTACTGGGCTTTAAGCTTACTTCAGAAGTTCTGTGCCAGTCAGAAACACTGATTAGTTCTGTGGAATCTCACTAGAGTGATGGTGCCTTCTGCTTCTCAGAAGTGTTTATTAGCCCTTTCAGAAAGGAGATGGAGTCCTATGAGAATTACAGCATAACTTCCTAAGTTAGAAGGAATGGAGTTGCATCATACTTCTGTCCAGTGAATGCTGTGACCTAGTACTATATGTACCTATGAGCTGTCTGGGTCAGCTCTCAGAAATCCCAGCTGGGGGAAGGTATTAAAAGGGCTGTAGCCTGCACTGTCTGTTATGTAATCCTAAAGTTTTATATGGGGAAGCAGCTGAACTCTTACTCTGGAATGCAGTTTGCAACTGGAATAAACACAAACCCAAAGAAAAAAAAACCCAACCAAACAAAACCCAACACTTTTCAGAATGGTGTGTCACAAATAGATGGTATAAAACTAGGTACATGTTTTTGATTTCTCTCAATTACTTTATTATTTTCAGTGATCGCTGTCACATTCAGAGTGTGGAAAGTGGTAGTTCAATTATCTTTGCCGACCTTACTTCTCAAGAAAAGAAGTCCTGTGACAGTACCGGTCTTAGAAATCCGGGTAGTGAATTGTGTATGAATGATTTTACGAACAACAGTAGTAAAGAGTGTATGAAACCAAATAAATGCGAATTATCCATAGAATTACAAGAAGACTTTGTAAGTAGTGTTAGCAGTAGATCAACTGATGTGAAAAATCATCCATCACGGGTACCTCATACTAGTCTGGAAAAGGATGCTAGCACTGGAAGTAAGTCCTGCACTGAAGAATGCTCGAAGAATCATGTAGCTGTCTGTGGAGAGTTTGAGGTAAATGCAGTTTTCATTAAATATACTTATCTGCTATCTACTTTAACCATGTTTGTAAAGTAGAGTTTGGTAGACACAGGAATGATTTATAATGATGAATTAAAAAAAAATAAAAATTATTATGATAAGATTCAGGAATACAGACAACTTTTATTTAAATGGGTAACACTATTACAAGGAAGCTGACCAGAAGGGCTGGCAGAAGTCAGCATACAAGAAAGTTACCATCATCTTGGGTCCTTTCAAAGTACCTACATGAATAAAAAGTACTACTGCATAAAAAAACCCGATCCATAATTGCACTTGAAAATCCTCAGCCTTCAGTAACCACGGCTAATTCAGATATTATTCATGAAAGTGTCTGGGTATGTCATGTGGTGCCTGTATAGTGTAGGATTCCACATGGAAAAGAGAAAAGCAGATGGCAGCATGGAATCGCCACTCTGCCTATGCTTCTGAAACTTGGCTGGCATTCATATCTCTGAAATGTCCTGTATAACACAAACAGCTCTGGAATACTCCAAGCTTTTGATATCATTTGGAGTTCCCTCTTGCAACAAATCCAAGATTTTAAAGGTGTTTGCTTGAATTGTCCAGGCTATCAAATGAACTAGTACATTATCAGAAACTGAGTATGAAATTACATACTCATATTAATAAATCAGACGTATGGACTAGATGACCTTAAAGGTCTTTTCCAACCGAAATGATTCTATGATTATATGAAATTCCACATTGAGGTGGATTTTTTTTCTAATTTATATTAATTTACACTGTTTTCTTAAGCCAGAATGAAACTCTGTTCAGTGTGTCTAGAAGCTTTAAACTCTAAAGTGAATATTAAGATACGTAGCTGGCTGTTCTGTTTTTATCATAACAATTGTTAACATTTGAGGACAAGCAAAAAAAAAAAACACACCCCAAAACTAGTTAGTGTTGTTGCATGTGCTTCTTGAATGCAGTAGATAAATAATACTGTATTTGATGTTACTTTGGTATCTGACTGGGATTTTTTAGCTTAATGAACAAATTCTGATTTTATTAGCTTTAAAGAAAAATAAGGAAATATTGTTTATGTTAAAGTGGCAACATCATAGACTATTATTTTTCTGTTAGGTGGAGTATCATTTGATGCTTCATATACAAATGCAGCTGTGTGAAATATCTTTGTGGGATTGGATTTTTGACCGTAATAAAAGATGCAACAAGAGAACAGAGGAAATGTCCAGTAAGAAGTCTTAAAAAATTTCTGACTCATTATGAAGCAAGTATTTCGTCTTTCCTAATTAGAAGTCCACTTGCCTGATTTTGTTTTACTTCAGCAGCTTATAATATGGATCTTCTTCATTAGATGAATAGAATCATCATTAGATTCTTTATTCATTTCATCACCTAGCAGCTAGTATTGAATCTTTTTATGATGTTGGTAAAGAGATTTAAGTTCATGGGGTTTAGACAACTCTTCAAAAAAGAATGAATGTATGCCTGAGGCATAGTTGTTACCTGGAGACATCTCTGCCTGGGCAATGCTACTTATTTGGAATAGTTTTTTTATTGCCAGAATCTGCTTTTTCTTAGAAAGCTGTTTAAATAATTGAAATTTTGCTTTGGTAGTAGTCTTGCTGGTACAAAATAGAACTCTTTGTAGGCTAATTTATCTGCTGTGGAAAACAGGAATACATCTTCTGTTCCAGACAGATGACAAGAAAAAAACAGTTTATTATTAAGAATCAGAACTCCTACATAGGCTGATTTGTCGTTGGTCTAAAGCATGTAGTATTTACCTTGCTGTAATAGCCAGAGGAGTTCTCATGCACTGATACCAAGATGCTTCAATAACTGTTGACATTTGGAAGAACAAGTCTAATGCTCTTGAAGCATTAGAGACATGTTCCTTTCTCTGGTTGTATAAAAAAAAGCATATGCTTAACAGATTGTGAGGCATAAACTGTATGATTAATGTTTAATCTTAGTTTTAATCACTATTAAGATAAATCTGTTGTTCTCTTTAGTCATGGATGCCAGCTATCAGCTGATGTCTGCTAATCTCTCCTGTATTTGTAGTCTTTTGCCATAAATAAGCTAAAAGATGATGTTCCTGGTCAGGGAATGACAGAATTACTAGGGCATTTGACCTAGTAGGGTAGCACAACAGCAGAAGAATTAGGGTCCAAAAAGGAAGGCTGCAAATTGATACCGATACAGAAAGCATGTTGTTATGTAAATTAATACGATTTCATCTGGAATTGTATTTTTCATTCTAATTCAGTACTTCCATCTAAGTAAAGAGGTTTTAAATTCATTATCAAGTAACTATCTGATGGAGTTTGGAAGAATCTTTTCAGGCAGACACATGTTCATGACCCCTGAATTTTCCTTTTTGGAATTTGGCAGTTAGTGACTTTTTTTCTGTTTCAAAACCAGTATCTTAGGAGAAATAGGGGAAGTTCCATTTATAAATTGGGCTCATTCTGTTAAAAATTTCTTCCATGTCATAAATAGAATTCAACAAGACAAACCATCGTAAACTTTATTAGCTCATTAAAATTAGCTAAAATAATTTAGATTTTAAATTGTTTTAAGGTCCATACCATCTCGTGGATGTCCGCTGGACAATGAAAATTTTTCAGGAGTTACTAGAAGGAGTATGCTATATCCACAGCATGGGAGTGATGCATCGAGACATTAAAGTAAGTTCATTGACTGAACTAATTACACTTGAGCTTGAAGAAAACGAAGATAACTTACATTATGGGAGAATGAAAGCAAATTTATAGCTAAATTTGAGATGACCTGGGCATTTAAGAGTTTAGCTGTCTTATGTATGAAAAAATACATTGTCTCCTCTACACCAGTATCATACATAACATACAGTATACATACAGCATTGTGCTCAATTACATTGACTTAAAGTGAATTATGATTAAGCTCTGGAAATGTTTTCTCCTTTGTGGAGCCATTTTCTTGTTCTAAACAGGGATAGTCAGATCGGTTTGGTTTTGTCTTGGTCTTTCCTTAACCAGCATAGGACCTAAATTTCCTAATTACCTAAAAGAAATTAAATTATTGTAGGTAATTATAAAAATAAGCAAAGGCCAGTGGCTACACCTCAGTTGGCTGTGTATCAGCTTTGGAAGATATGTTCAAGTTATAGTTGCGAATAATTGCTGTCTTTCAAAATGGTTGTTATTTTCCTTAAGGGACTGAAATTGTAGGTGATGTTAGTGACTGAATGAAAAGTTTTGGTTTCATTCCAATTAAAAATAATGAAGAGCAGACTTAAAATAGTAACACTTTGACGGATTAGAATAGCGTGCCGTTTATATGTTCATGTGAAGTGTTTTTGGAATTCCAGTCTTAAGAATAGTTTTGACTTAAATGTGAAGCGTAAGTAGATGGATTTTGCTTAATCTGACTCGGAATAGCAAGGACATGAATGTGTTTTTTCCTACTCTGCTTCCTAGAGGTTCTGTGCATCTGATACAGTAACTATATCAGGAAATGAGTGTAAAGATCATCTTGATTATTAAAACTCCATGTGTGGAAACTTGGAATTACTTGAAAACACACAGTGTTCACTCTGGATTAATTTTATTTTGTCTGCCAGCTGTTTCAGGATCAACTGGTTTTTTGATTTTCCTGTTAAGCATCAACATGGCCTTATTGTCCAAGTCCTGGTAGTTGTATAAAGAATTCCATAGTGGGAGCTTGGTTTTGAGGCCATGCTTATTGTTTTCACCACACCTTATTCTAAAGGTGATTTTGCAGACATCTTGCAGAAACAGTAATTTCTGTGATAATGTTACAAGGAAGTGTTTCAGCATTTGAAATTTTGAGAACAGAAGTCCAGTGAGTGAGTGGGTAGCCTTGATTATCTCTACTTCAGTGGAAATGAGAAGCCTACCAACTTGTTTGGCACTGCTGTATCTTTTAAATTTGATCTGCATTGAAGAAATGAAGAGTGGAGATTGCCCATCTCTGATACAATGTTCATGTCTGCTTTATACTCTAACAGAACTATTTCCCTTCTTGCCACCTGAGCAGGCTTCATGAAGAGCTTTTTGTCCTTTATGATCTTGGGTGTTAATGTTAGCTCCATTACTTAATGGTAAAGAGATGCGGTCTGCGTTGACATCTAAAATTCTGCTTATGCTCTGCACACTGCAATATGAAGGGCAGTTCTTCCCCAAGTTGGACTGGCAAAGTTAATGTTTGTTCCAGAGGTGATTAAAGTTGCTGTCATCTCTGTGTTTAGTGACCCTGCAGCTATGTAAAGAGGTGTCCAGCCAGACTTGTGACTGTCCTTTAAGTTAACAATAACGAGTGGATGTAGGTGGAAAAGCATCATCAGACTGTTGGCCTAAACACAGAAGACAGATAATTACTGATCTTCAGGATTTATCTGATATTTTTACATTTTGCAAGAAACAGAGACACATTTGTGCTCTGAGGCTGGCTGTGAACAAGTATTAGGAGTTGCCATGACCTAATGGAAGCTTGGTCATTAACTTATATTTGTTAACTACAGCTTGTGCCCAGCAGGAATGCATAAATGGTGTTAATGCCTTCAGTTCTTTTACTTCCTAATCTTATAGCATGAGAAATGAGTCATAGTTGGGCTTCAGGTCAGTGAAGCTCCTGGAAGTGCAAGCAAGCAGAAGTTTCATCTCATTTGTACATACAGACATAATCTAGGAGTGCTTGAGCCTCTAGATTATAAAATTGTAGAATGGTTTGGGTTGGAAGGGACCATAAAACCATCTAGTTTCACACACACCCCTACCACGCACAGATACCTTCCCACTAGATCAGGTTGCTCCAAGCCACATCCAACCTGGCCTTGAACACTGCCAGGGATGGGGCAGCCACAGCTTCTCTTGGGCAACCTATGCCAGTGTCAGTAAAAAATGTCTTCTCTATATCCAATCTAAATCTACCCTCTTCAGTTTAAAACTGTTGCCCCTTGTCACTACTGACCCTGGTATAAAGTCTCCCTGCTTTTTTGTAAGCCCCCATTATATGTCGAAAGGGCACAGTAAGGCCTCCCTGGAACCTTCTCCTCTCCAGGCTGAACAAGCCCAGCTCTCTCAGCCTTGTCTCCACAGCAAAGGTGCTCCAGCCCTCTAAGCATCCCTGTGGCATCCTCTGGACTTGCTCCAACAGCTCCACATCCTCCTTATGTTGGGGTCCCCAGAGCTGGATGCACTTCTCCAGGTGGGGTCTCACAAGAGCAGTAGAGGGGGAGAATCCTCTCCCTTGACCTGCTGGTCACACTGTTGGTGATGCATGCAGCCCAGGACATGGTTGGTTGCTGGGCTACAAGTGCATACTGCCAGGTTATAGACAATTTTTCATCTGTCAGTGCTGCCAAGTCCTTTTGGGCTGTTTGCAGTGTAAGAAGTATAATCAACAGTCACTGGTGATTTTTTGTCTGAGTTGAGATACGCTACTTCTGGTTTATATTGAGCAAGAAAAAATTCACATTCAAAATTAAGAAGAGATGTGATTCTGCCATATGTTGCATTAAGTCAGGTATGGTATCATTTGAGGAAGCAAATTTCCCATTTTCTGCTGGGAGAAAAAAAAAACAAAACTTTACATTTCCACTAAAGCTATTTCCTGTTTTGCTTTTCTTCCTTTTTCCTACATCCTTCATATGTGTTTTTTCTGCCAAAATGGTGTTGCCAACACATAACTTGGTATCAGCTATGACTTTTTTTCCCCTCTCTCACTAATGAGAGTGTTAATTATACCTGTGAAACACTGGATTTTATAGTCTTGAAACAGCTGAAATTTCATACTTACTTATACAGGTATATTTATAGATTTTATACTGTCTTGTTTTATAGCCCAGAAATATCTTCCTGCATGGATCAGATCATCATGTAAAAATAGGAGACTTTGGATTAGCCTGCAAAGAGCTTCTTTGGGATCATGCAGACCAGTGGTTTAAGACAGAAAAGAAAAATGGTAAGAGGAAAAAAAGCTTAATGGGTTTAAGTGATTGAGTTTCTATGATATTAAGACTATCAAATATCAAATTCTAAAGTGAAATGGTAACAACACTGAGAAGTTTAAATTGCCTTTTTAAAGGACTGATGCATACTTCAGGAGTGGGGACCTGCCTCTATGCCTCACCAGAACAATTGCAGGGATCTCAGTATGATTTCAAGGTAGGAAGTAGTAGTATTTTTCTTCTATTAACACATGAAGGTGATTGGAATAAGACAAGTCTTTCAGTAGGTAAATATATAAATATCCCTACTGTTTCCCCTAATGTTTTTGCTGAAACATGGCAAAAATAATTTGTTTCTAAGATCTTCTTGAGGAATGTGGAATGTACAGATTTGAATTTGTGTTCTGTCAGTAGTGTCCTGATATTTTTCCTATTATCGGGAAACTTCGTTGTCATGAAATGGTTTCATATTGTGATTTTCTTAATGAGGAAAAGAAATCCACTAAGTAATTAAAAACAGCAGTTATACCAGACTTTTTCTTCACTCCATTACCAGTCAGACATGTACAGCATGGGTGTTATCCTGCTAGAACTCTTCCAACCATTTGGAACAGAAATGGAAAGAACAGAAATTCTTACAGGTTTACGGAATGGCCAAATTCCTCATACTTTCTACATGAAATGGCCTGTTCAAGCCAAATACGTTAAACTCCTCACCAGTCAGAATGCTACAGAAAGACCAACGGCTGCTCAGCTCCGTGAAAGTGAACTATTTCATACCACAGAACATGTAAGTTATGTCAATAACCTCAACCTTTACAGGATAAAGAAATATAAAAAGAAAATGGCTTTTGTTTTCCTGTATTATCAAGTTTTTTTGGTTTGTTTGTACCTTAAGAGCATTGTGTGATCAGGACTTTTTTCCAAGTACGGTATTTATGCCACTGTATTAATGTTTCTGGTGTCTTTGCAATGAAATAAATGAAGACTGGGCTGTTGATTTTGAGACATTTTTATAGATCAGAGAAGGTTTTGAAGCTTTTCAGCAGCTCTGAAGAATCTTTTTATAATTTTCCCTTGTCATGCTTTTTTGTTTGTGGATTAAGTTGTAGTATCAAATATGCAGAATAGCATCTATAAATGAAGTAAACTGGCTCTCATTTTCAGGTTATTTCCAACCTACAACAGAAGGTGAGACAGCAAGAGGAAGAAATAGAGAAACTGAGAGAGAGAATAAGACTGCTTTCAGAAGAACAAGGTGAACAACGTATGGAACTAGGTTCCCCTGTTTAAGTATGGGAAGAACCTCTATTGTATGCTAAGTTATATAAACTGTTCCTTTTTTACATAGATACATTTCAATGCATTTTGATTCTCCTGTGTGTTGTTTAAAGGTCTTTTTGTCTTAGTCCATAAGTCTTCAGTCAGCAGAAAGTATTCATGTTGCACTGAGCCTCAGGATAACTTAACTTGTGTAAATAAGCATTTGGGTTACAGGGGAAAAGATAAGGAAAAATTAAAAGTGCAGCATGTATTTACGTAAAACTACTGCACATAACTTACAATCATTGACAAATACGCGTGTCATGCAGCAGTTAGTAAAAAGGAAGGTCACACCCAAAAGTTAGCTGTAATGTTTTTATTGATTTAGAATTCTTTTCAACTGTAGTACTTGAATACATCTCAGAAAGGACTCAAACCACTACAGCAGGCATGAGGGATAATAAGATTATCATTATAAAAGAGTACAGGCTTACTTGAGTAGCTTCAGAATAGAGTTGAAAGGTGCCAAGTTCTCACATGACTTCATCCATTTTTGCACATTGGCTGGGGCAGCATTGGCACTACCCATCTGCTGAAGCACAGACCACACAACAATGTCTGCTATGGTGAGTTCACTTCCCACCAGCCACGCTGCCTTGCCCAGGGCAGCATTCATAGAGCGCAAGACTGCTCCTTTTTCCTTACTGCTACCTTCTCTGAGCTGGAAAATGGCTGTATCCACCCAGCTGTCAATCAGAGTTGAAGTTACTGCATTGTACTTCTGGCCCAACAGGGAAAAGAGAAATCTGGCAATGTTCCCTTCTCCTTCAATAGGGCACATTGTTTGAACACTGAACTTCATCTGAGGTTTTGGAACTGAAATTAAGAAAAGGAAAAAAGTGAATACCATATGGTAAAGAAGTTAAATGTAACAGCAATGCCATGATGTGTTTTATTTTTGATGCCAGCACCACTGTTAACATACTTAACCTAAGGAACAATTTTCCATTTTCTGAGTCTGAATAGACTAATGCAGGAACCTGGGACAGAGAGATCACTTTTTGCACATTTCAGCCAAATCTCCCACCTCATTTCTATTCTAGCCAACTTATTTCTAGACACTGAAAAATGCTTCTATAAAAGAAATACTGTGGGTACAACCAAGCATGTAAATGCCATGTGTATTTTAGTATTGGTAACTACAAACACAAGTCTTCCTCCTCTGTCCCCATCATTAACAGCTATGAAGAGAGCAAAAATGTTATTTGCAGTATGTATCCATCAAATGTCAGCACAAGGACGCCAAAGCATCTGTTGTCAAGGTTTTAATGCCCAAGTTTCATTTTCTCACCTATTGTAAACTACTGATCTGCAAGATAACTTTGTTCTTACCATCCTTCCATATAAGAGTAAAGCCCAATTGATACTCGTGACGAGGTTGCTTCTTAGTCTGCTCTCCAAAGCATTTCAGGAGGTTTTCTGGCACGCTTTTCACGGATGAATGTGTATGAACAGCTGATAATATTTTATAGCGTTCACAAAGCAGATTGTGCAGTACTAATAATGACAATGGAGGTAGAGATGGATTTGCATTGATTACAACATCTTTCAGGGCACCATAATCCTGAATGGAAAGTAAAACATTCAGCAGAGAAGACAGTGAAAGAGATTTTGTCTGACCCCAAAGAGTACGTAACCATGTATGTGTGTATCTAAAATTCTAATGCTACTCAAATCTATTCAAGTTTGGACATTTAAAACTTGTTTAAACGTTTAAAAACCTTCCTCAACACATCATTCAAGAACATGACTGAGGTAAATTCGAGACATATCTGAAGGTAAAGTTAAAATTTCAAGTTAGTAACAAACAAAAAACCAAGTGTCATAATTTCAGAATCAACTATTCTAGCTTAGAATTCTATCCAAATAAGAATATATGGGATTTATTATTTATAAACTTTTGTATCTATAATCTGGATGTTCAAAATTATATGGTAGTTGTAGGTTATTTGTAAGGATGTAAGACTTCTCTGATGAGTTCGGAGTGTCCCAGGTTTTAATGCCACCCTTCCAACCCTGAAAATTTTGAGAGCAGAGAAAGTACCCATCAATGTATATGGCTCAAGTGAATTTACCTTTCCAAGCATCACATCCAAATCTGCTCCACTGGCTGTCAGAGAACAGTCGTTTGTTTGAATTATGTTAGTTACATCAATGTCAGCATCTGGGGTTTGTGTCATCTTTGAGAGACCATCGACGGCACTCTTCAGTTCATACAAGCGTTTCAGAATCAACTCCTGGCGGGCTTCAAGTGCTTGAAGTGAAGGATCAACCCCCTCCTACAGGAGATGAAAACCAAGGTTGCATGAATGTTCACTCAGCTCAGTGTCAAAAATAGTCCACAGCTTACTTGACAACAAGTTTAGAAAGACTTTAGAATCATAGAATAGTTAGGGTTGGAAAGGACCTTAAGATCATCTAGTTCCAACCCCCCTGCCATGGGCAGGGACACCTCACACTAAACCGTATCACCCAAGGCCTTGTCCAACCTGGTCTTGAACGCTGCCAGGGATGGAGCATTCACAACCTCCCTGAGCAACCTATTCCAGTGCCTCATCACCCTAACAGGAAAGAATTTCCTCCTTATATCCAATCTAAACTTCCCCTCTTTAAGTTTTAACCAGTTACCCCTTGTCTTATCACTACAGTCCCTAATGAAGAGTCCCTCCCCAGCATCCCTATAGGCCCCCTTCAGATACTGGAAGGCTGCTATGAGGTCTCCACGCAGCCTTCTCTTCTCCAGGCTGAACAGCCCCAACTTTCTCAGCCCATCTTCATACAGGAGGTGCTCCAGTCTCCTGATCATCCTTATGGCCTCCTCTGGACTTGCTCCAACAGCTCCATGTCCTTTTTATGTTGAGGACACCAGAACTGTACACAATGCTCCAAGTGAGGTCTCACAAGAGCAGAGCAGAGGGGCAGGATCACCTCCTTCGACCTGCTGGTCACGCTCCTTTTGATGCAGCCCAGGATACGGTTGGCTTTCTGGGGTGCAGGCGCACACTGCCGGCTCATGTTCATTTTCTCATCAACCAACACCCCCAAGTCCTTCTCTGCAGGGCTGCTCTGAATCTCTTCCCAGCCTGCAGCTGTGCCTGGGATTGCTCCGACCCAGGTGTAGGACCTTGCACTTGTCATGGTTAAACCTCATGAGGTTGGCATCAGCCCACCTCACAAGTGTGTCAAGGTCCCTCTGGATGGCATTCCTTCCCTCCAGGGTATCAACCGAACCACACAGCTTGGTGTCATCAGCAAACTTGCTGAGGACGCACTCAATCCCACTGTCCATGTCAGCGACAAAGTTGTTGAACAAGACCGGTCCCAACACTGATCCCTGAGGGACACCACTCATTACTGGTCTCCAGACGGACACTGAGCCACTGACCACAACTCTTTGTGTGCAGCCATCCAGCCAGTTCTTTATCCACGAGTGGTCCATCCATCAAATTGATGTCTCTCCAATTTAGAGACAAGGATGTCGTGTGGGACAGTGTCGAATGCTTTACACAAGTCCAGGTAGATGACATCAACTGCTCTATCCCTGTCCATCAGTTTTGTAGCCCCATCATAGAAGGCCACCAAACTGGTCAGGCAGGATTTTCCCTTAGTGAAGCCGTGCTGGCTGTCACCAAGCACCTTGTTGTTTTTCATGTGCCTTAGCATGCCTCCCAGGAGAATCTGCTCCAAGATTTTGCCAGGCACAGAGGTGAGACTGACTGGTCTGTAATTCCCCAGGTCATCCATTTTCCCCTTCTTGAAAATGGGGGTTATATTTGCCTTTTTCCAGTCGTTGGGAACTTCACCTGACTGCCATGATTTCTCAAATATGATGGCCAGCGGCTTCTCAACTTCATTCGCCAGCTCCTTCAGGACCCACAGCTGGGTTTCATCAGGACCCATGGACTTGTGCACATTCAGATTTTTAAGATGGTCTTGGACCAGTTCCTCTCCTACAGTGGGCACAAGGTCTTCATTCTCACAGTCCCTGTGTCTGCCTTCCAGGACTTGGGTGGTGTGGTCAGAGCCTCTGGCAGTGAAGACCAAGGCAAAGAAGTCATTCAGAACCTCAGCCTTCTCCAAATCCTGTGTAGCCAGTTCTCCCGAGAGCTTCCTGAGGGGGCCTATGTTCTCCCTAGTCTGTTTTTTATTTGCTATGTACCTGTAGAATCCCTTTCTGTTATCCTTAATATCCCTAGCCAAGTTTAATTCTAACCGGGCCTTAGCTTTCCTAACCTGGTCCCTAGCTTCCTGAACAACATCCCTGTACTTTTCCCAGGCCACCTGTCCTTGCTTCCACTTATTATAAGCCTCTTAAACTTTTTAGACTCTAAACACCTTCAAATAACCAGAGCAGCATGGAATGTCATGGTCTTATGTCAACTAGTTGTCTTGCCTTTAGTATGTATGAAGATGGTAAGCAACAGGTTATTTAATCAAATCTCTGAAATCTTCCTGCTTAAAACTCGTTTTTTTTAAATCAGTAGCCACAGCAAACTGTCTAACATAGTACACAGCAGACCACAACCACAGAGACTTAAGGCTGGCAATGAAGTGCTGAACTGAAACTTGAAAAAACAAAGTTATCTCATCAGGATTCTCTCCAGCCCAGAAAAGCAGACTGATTTTGTGCTGAGGCTGCCAAACAAGGAAATGTTTTGACAATTCAGGAAGTTAGTGAAGTAAAAAAACCTGCAGGTTTTGGCTGGATGGTATATCATATGAAACAACACTTTGCAGCCATTCTCTGGTTCAGAGAATATAAACTATACAGAAAAAGGTGACAGGCTTTGTTACATGTTAATCCCAAAGCATGTTATCTCAATTATCTTACAAGTCTACCTTTTTTAGAAGATGGAAAATATATTCCTGGGGGAAGTATTAGGTCTACAAAGCTGCAATAATGTTAAAGTACCTTTGTATAGATAATCCATTTTCTGAATAAGGATTAATGAAATCCAACCTAGCAACCAAACTTCTTTCAGTCTAATGGATAAAGAGATAACAAGCAAGGTATCTAAGTGAAATCCTGATACCCACTTACACAACATT